TGTATCTGCATAAAATGGTTTGTTCCTGCAGAAGGCATTTAACAGCATTCAATAAAATCAGAGAATAACAGAGCGTGCATAACCATGCTGTCTAGAACAATAATAAAATTGTCATAAAAGAGGACATTAAAAGATTCAAGTTTAGTGCTATTGTTTAGATAGGATCATGACCGTTAAATGCCATCTATAATTACAGATTTTATAATTCCCATCATTATTTGAGAAGTAACGTATTTATTTCCAAGCCGTCTTTAAACGCACCATGGACATGCACATGCTGATGGTAAATTAACAAGAGGAGACCTCCTGCTGAGCAGAGCGGCAGGGTGTCAGAAACCAGCGAAACAAAAGTAAAAATCTTTGTAATTTTTTTCCAATCAAACTTTGAATGTTGACTAAACTCTGTTGGAGGCAGATAATGTTAGCTAAATGATCCAAATATATCATGTTTAGCTAATAGGAGGGTTTCACGTGACGTCACGATGCAGTGCCACTGGAGCGCGAAGTTCAGATGGAGGTCAGGAAGTGAAAAAGTGGAGGATCTGCTATCTGAAAAAATGCCCATATCTTGTGTAGTTTACGAGTGCTCCAATCATTCTAACTGAATTAATAATAAATAATTATACACAAATTATATATTAAATTAAATTAAATTAAATTATGGCTCTTTTTATTAATGTTCGTCATATTTTAAACACGTTACAGCAGGAGGGTGTAAAAGAGGGCTGATTCATGGGGGATTCACTATTTTTGATTATAAGAGGGAAGAGAAGAAGATTGAGCACCGAGCGGACTCTACGGGGGAAATCTTCGTCCTGTTATTGGTCTGCCGGGGCAGACGGTGCGGAGCTAACTGGGTGGATGCTAACTACACCGAACAGCTGATGAAAGCACGTAAACAGCGGGAGGTGTAGAACTTTTTATTCAGTGGGTGGATCCACAACCTCGGTACCAAACAGCTCCACAATGATTATCTCTTGTTTTTTGCCAGGGTGAGTGCTTGTTCTGATATTGTTTTATTTGTTAAGATCATGCTAGCAGTAGCGGCTAACGTCAACAAACTTCCAGCACCTAACGACACAGAACTAGGGCAGCCTAAAGTCCAGATGAGGTCCACATTAAACTACCAGTAACTTAATACTCACTACTAAATAAACGATCATTATAAACATAACTTCTAAAACAAGTTAGTAGCTAACATATCTCTGATGTAGTGGCCGCTGCCTGCAGACACAGACATCCTGCTCCTCCTGACCGCAGACGGTTTAAAATCCACTTTTTACGCTGTCGTTCTGTGAGCTTTCTACATTTTTCATCTGTGTGTTTGATAATCAGTGTTATCACATGTTGTCATAGGGTTGGGCAGAATCGTGTGGAATTATTCATCAGTTAAACTTTTGCTGGTTATTATTTGGCACATGTGATGTAAGACGTGTGTGGTACCGACAGCCTCAGCAAACCTTTAGGTTCTGTTGAAAACTCATTCATCTTCATCATAGGAGTCATGTCTGACATATTTGTGAACAAACTGTTGTTATATATCTTGAAATAGGATCTAAATCCATACAATATAGACTCTACAGTAGTTTCCTCCATAGACATTTTACCCCCTGCCCTCCAGCGGAGATCGCTCCGCCTTCGAAACCACGTGACTGAAACCCAGCTATTAAGATTAGACAGTTATTACTTTTTTACATCCTTGCTAGTTAGTTAATGTTATGATAAATAAACATAATGCTTTATTATTTCTATGCAGACGTTGTGCTGGCTTGCTTTCCACATGCTTAAAATAAATCTTTGCCATCATAGAAAGAGCAAAGTCAGGGAGGAGACATCAGATCCAGCAGCAGGGACTACATGATGCAGGCTTTTCTCAGGTAAGGACAGATTATAACTTATTACAGGGAGAAACCAGGCAGGTATCAGGACAGAGTTTAACAGATATTTCAGAATTACTCTTATTCACACTCCAGGATATATATTTTTATTTATTGTTTCTACTTTGGTAAGGTTTTGGTAAGAAAAGGTTTTGTTTACTGTTTATTATTTTCATATATTACCTACCTACTGCGTTATTTGTGTTCTTAAAGGCAGCAGGTACAGGTCATGCTATTTTATTTATTTTGATTAATTTTGCTCACCTGTGCAGACACATTTTAATAAAATGTGTTCAGTGCTGTATCACGTTAAGTGTTTATGCTATTCAATTAAATTATGTGGCCTTTTACCTTATTAATTCTTAATTTTACTCCATTTTGTGAGCTAAGTAATCTTTTTTACAGGAATGGTGTTTTGCCATTTAGCACTGGCTACTTTTTGGCAGCTTAAATTTTAGATTTTGTTAGTATATAAAGTTAATCACCTGGAGCTGTACTGTGGCTGTTAGTGATTATATGTGTTTTAACCTAAAAGTGGATGTGTGATTTAATGAGAGAGGATGATAAATCACTCAAAATACCTCTAAAAATTGTATCCCCTCAATTCTGACATGATGATTATGTCCTTGTTCATACTGTATGCAGACTGTTGCATGTACAGTGGTTTGCAAAAGTATTCATACCCCTTGAACTTTTCCATATTTTGTCACATTACAACCACAAACATAAATATATTTCAC